AGATGAGCACAGGCCTGCATATGGAAGGAGAAGAAAGAATCAAAGATTTTTTCCAGAGGGTGTGAGCAATGACAGTGATAGTGCAATCAGCTGGGATGAATACTGTGGGAAATAGTGAGCAAAACATACAATTTTGATGTAAGTTGATTTTCACATCCTCTGTACAATATGTCAGATGGAAAAATGGCTGTTCTGCATTTGGTAGAGCAAAGTGAGACAGAAGTACAGTGATGAGTCTGTGACTCACTGGAATAAAAGTAGTAATTAAAGCATAGGTTTGCTTGGTGATGGAAAGCCTAGAAATAATAGCAGAAAGAGAGCAGGAAGGGCTTTGCCAGAGCTCTCGGGGATCTTGTCCTTACAGACAGGATTTAGGCCTCCTAGGTGAGAAGAAGGGCTTGCACCAGAAGAGACACCCAGAAACACACTGTTGGGAACCCAAAGCGCATGAGGTACGGAGACAGAGTTGTAGCCAAAAGTGAAGTAGTGTGAAGAAAACAGCAGCTCTGCGATATGGCTGGGGGAAGTGAGAGCAACCCTTCTGAGAACATTGTCACTAGAGCAATGGATTGGGGAGTTTTGATGAGTTGGACACTGACGGAGTTGGAAGAGTTGGAGGAAGAGTGAGTGTGTTTGGTGAAAAGGAAAAAAGCTACGAGCAGGAGTCTGTCCTTCTTCTTTTAAGAAGGAGCTGGGAAGAGGAACGGTTGAAGCCTGTGGGAGGTACATGGTGAGCGAGTAGTAGTGAAGTAAGGCAGGTAGAAAGTGGGTGACAGAGGGGAACAGCAGAGAAAGTTTGGTGTCAGAGAGAGAGGAAAAAAACTCTTGTAGGTGAAAGGAAGATAAAGAGAAAAGACAATGTTTTTTTCTTTTCTTTTTTTTTCTTTGCAACCCTGTCCAGGGTGCATGAACTGGATGAGTTTATAGAAGAAAGTTTAGAACTGCAGGGAAGAGCCACAGATAAGATGGCAAAACAGTGCTCTGTGGGAAGAAGTAGGGCTGATGGGACAGGGAAAAAAAACGATCTGAAACAAAAGCTGCCTGATGGTGAGGCTTTCTTCAAAGCTGAGCAGAAGACACGGTAGAGCTGCAGTGCTGCTTTACAATTGCAGGACTGCATTTTGTCCCAGACCATGTGCAAGAGATGGGTACCAGTCAAGAGGCAAGAGGCAGGCTAGTCATGGTATGGATAGATACAGGCTTTTTTATTATTTTTATTTTTTTTCCTACCTGTATGTCCTTAGAAAGACTCATACTGCTTAGAGGGCACATTTACCCTTTTCCCTGGTAGCAGCTGCTGTGATCTGTCACTGTTCATTCTCTGCGTTTGTAGTCCCTTAGTGGGTGAGGAACATCTGCTGATTTTGTGATGTCTTTTGTCTGGGTCACGATCCAGATGAGAAGCTTTCCCCAGCCTGTCCTTTTCTATATGAATCAGGTCAGTAGTGATAGAAATTAAGAATTGAAGGAGCTTTTATATATTGCATGTTGTAACTGACATCCATCTTCGGAAATCTCAGCAGAGGCCTCAGAGGGGACAGAACGTGAGGAAATGGTCCCCGCGCGCCACGCAGCAGAGACTCCAGGCACAGATGGAGGTGTAAACCTAATATGTTTTGCTATTGGGTTCAAGGCCCTTTCTGACACGCTTTCCAAAGAAATTTTGAAAAATACATCTGTAACTGCTTCTGTTTGCTCTCTTCAAAGGGAATTGTTGCTAGTGGTTGCTAAAATCCCGCAAAAGCATCTCCCTAGTCATCATTTGCCACGCTGGATGTGACCAGTGAGATGACTTCTGCTAGATGCCATGGAGGGTTTGAGGAGGTGGCTGGAGGCAGGGCAGCATTCTGGAAGTAGCCTTCTCTTTACTGTGCAGCCCAGATCTACCGATGAAGTCCCGGACTCACTTGTGCTGGCAGGTTTTGTGGTTGATAAAGGTAATGATAGATAGTGAGGAGCAAGGAGGGGTTTGCTTTGTTAACATCTGTGTTAGGAGGCTTTGGCCAGTAATGATTTATAGATTACAGGTTAAGTTCCTTTCTTATTAATGGGATTATAAAGCATAAATGGGTATTCCACTCCAGGGAAGCAGGAGTACAGAAGAAGGGAAACTCCTCTCGGGTTATATATCTTTAATAAATTTTGTTTAGTTATTTGGCGGGGGAATGAAGGCAGGGTTTTGCTGGTGGTGGCTTTGCAAGTATAAATAAACCAATGCCAAGTACTTCTGTGCCAACCAATTTTTCAGAAATTCCTCTTGCACCTGTTCCGCTGGGAGCAGGGCAGGTTGATCTCCGTGACCACCTTGTGTCAGTGCCGCGCAGCCGGCAGCTCCGTATCGCATCGCACTCTCAAAGCAGACAAGTTTTTATTGTTGAATGTGCAAAACCACTGGAGTGCTGCGTTCACCCTATTGAACTGCGTGACTGCAGGATCTTATTGGCTAAACACTAAGACGTTAATGTACATTAATTCGTCAGCAAGGCTTTTTGGCAGGGTAAAATTAAGATAAATGTTGTAGACTTGCTTAGATTTTGAAATGTGTCAGGTTTTCTATTGTACTGAATGCATTTGTGTCTAAAGGTGAAGAAAAGGCTAAACCAGCGTTTCAACCAATAAGCAGGGTAAAAAGGCTTTTGTTCTGGGAGCTTTTAAAGAGAACAAATGTTTGGCTCCTCCCCTGCCGGAGTTCAGTCTTCTTTGGATTGTAATGCAGAAACCTAAAAAGAAATTCTAAAAAAAGTAGAATTTTGAGTCTCCTGTGGCTTTTTATTTGCCAAAATAATCATTAGTATGATTTTCAGATTTTTTTTGACATTTTTGAGGCTTTAGATCTTTAAATAGAATTGTCTGTGGGTGTCAAAGCTTCCTCACAGGCAGTCTGACCCCAAGAATATAAAGCCAGTAATTATTTACAGGCCAATATTATTAAATATAAATTTACACTATTAATTTAACATGGAGTTGTGAACTGGAATTGTGAACTGGAATTGTGAAAGACACAAGTTGCATCATTTAGGGTAGTAGCTTTGATGAATCTTGTAAATAATGACTGGTTTTGTGCCCTGCACATTCGTTTCTGCAGGACATTGGTACTTCGGGAGGTTTGTGCTATTTTCAGCCTTATGTGCAGAACAGCTGCCTCTGTTGGCCTCTTGGGATAGCTTTACTTTTAACTGTACTTTTAACTGTTTTAACTGTTCTTAGATAGTTTTCATAAAATGTACTTCTTTGTGAACACGTATTTGGTGCTTGTGTGTGTATGTACATGAAAGCTCCACCTGCTTTATTAAACCAGCATGTCGTATTGGTTCTTCTTCCCCTCCTTCTGGCCCCCCTACATCCCCCAGGCCTGTAGGTCATTTAGAAAAAGGGCTCAAATGTGCTGGTCACGAACCTTTGGGTTTGTACCAACCACGCTGGGCCCCAGCACTGAGCACTCGCAGTCAACATGTTTGTGTCTTCTAAAACACAACGTGTGCCCCCAGGTTCTGCAGCAGAATCCATGGAGCAGCGCACTGGGGGAGCTGGAGCAAACGGGGTTGCCTAAACTGGGCTGGAAAATGGAAGGGTTTTGTCAAAACTGAGAAATGAGTTTGGAATCACCCGTGTTCCATGTGCTGTGGTGTTTCTTACTGATAAGACGAATGTTCATGTGGCTGAAGGGGAAGCAGGCAGTGAGTGCGGCTGGGAAGTAGCTGGTGCTTTAAGGCAGCTGGCAAGGGGAGGAGGAACTGGGAGATGAGCTTACATAGATGGGAATAAAGTAGAGCAGGGAACATTGTTGTCATTTAGCATCTCAGCATTAAGAAAACATCCCTGAAGATGAGATTATTATAAGTCCAGGCTATTGTTTTGAACTGTTAGCAAAATCTGGAATGCAACACTTTGTTCTGGACGTTTTCTTTTTGACTCTAAAAGCCGTAAACATCATTGGGAAGAGGGAGCAAATCAAAGTTGATGAGCAGGAAAAAGGCAAAGCCAGCAGTCCACCCTTTTGATTTTTAACTCTCTTCTTTAACAAGGTTTGGTTACATGTTGCATGATGATACTACTAGTTACCTCAGTGATACTGCCTGTAGGACTATAAGACTACAGCATGCTACTAATCACTACCAAATTAATATAGTTTTTCTTCTGTGCAGCATAATAATAGAGTGCAGAAGTTACTAACTTATTTGCAGTGCCCTCTCTGTCTTTTCATTCAAGTATAACCTGTGACAAGAAGTAGGTCTAATTGTAAAGCAAAGTGAGTACCAAAACCAGGCAGGTTTTGAAGTCCATGCCTGCAGCCTGGAGTTTCCTCTGTGACTCTCACAGCACAGCAAGCGTTCCACTCCAACAAATATTTTACTATCAGAGCCGATCTTTATATAAAGCAGATTCTTTCATATTCCTTTCAGACAGGGCTATCATGTATATGTAATAAATACCCACTGGTTACTTTAGAGTTATATGAGAAATGTTTAAAAAGGTCCAGTGCCTTTTCAGAACTGAGTGTTTTCATTAGAGTTCCTTCCCAAACAGTACATCTTAGATCAAAGGTGTATGGTATGCATATAGTTCATATATAGTAGTGTGTATATAGCTGTGTATTAACAACTACATTGACTATGCAGATACACTGATTGATGATACTGCAGTGTTGAGACAGTTGGTCTGCTGTTCTGGCTCCCACTTATGCTCTGGTCTTATTTAAATCATAGGAATAACAGCACAGGCACTTCAAAAGGATTTAGGAAAGATCTGAGCCAATGTAATCTTCTTTGTAACTCCACTAACAGCTGTTCACGAAAAGCTCATGCTGCTCCTGTTGTGTGAACACTTCAAACAGTTGTTTTAAGGGAGAGCACGAAAAAATTTCCAAAATGTTTGCCTGTTCAAGTAATTTCATAGTCTAACTAATTTCACAGACATAGATGGAGTGAGTAGTACAGAGTATTGAAAGATGATGAAGAAAACAACTGAATTTGGCTCATTTTTTTTTGCCTTATTCACAGATATCGATGAATGTGCCGAAGGCCGACACTACTGCCGTGAGAATACCATGTGTGTGAATACCCCTGGATCCTTTATGTGCATCTGCAAAACTGGATATATCCGCATTGATGACTATTCGTGTACAGGTAAAACGTGTATATTTGTATATACACCTGGACTTATATCTGATTAATCAGAGAAAGTTAATCTCTGTTAGATTCATGCCGCCTGTCGACATTTTGTGAAATAGTCAATGCTAGAATAACTAGGCGGGTACAGTGCATAAATGCTAATACATTTTACAGATTAGAGCTATAATGAAGCATTTGCATGAAACAGCAGAGCTTGTCTCCTGGTTACATGCTTTGAGATAGTGATAGAGAAGTTAAAGGCAAGAGGCTGAGGGATAGAAGAGACCAAAAATAGTGCTATGAGGTCTCAGTTTCCAACTCATAGTTTAGTGATACTTATGCAAACCTAGGAGTTAAATTTCCTGCATATTAGGTATAGTTGGTTCCTTGCTTTGAATTCACCTATGTTGGGGAAATTCCCTGGCTGAATTCTCTGTGAGTTCAGAGGGCAAGAAATCTGTCTGCTTTGTGCCTCTGTGCTACATGGTCTGTCTTGTCTCAGTGCCTTCCCTTCTGCTCTGCTGCCACTGGATGCTCTAGAGGAAGCACTGGGTTCATGCTGACTTTCTGTGTTCTAGTCTTCTGTTCTGCAAAGTATTTTAGGTTTATGAAATGAAAATAGAACATTTAAAACTCTCTTTATCAGAGGAAGGTTGACTATAAGTGTTCCTTGGAGGAATGTGTTTTTTCATACTAGACAGATAAAGAAATATGATTCAGAGATGTGGCACATTCTCTCAGTGAAGAAAAATGTGTATGAACAAAATAATACCACTACTTTATTCTCACAGGGGAATGCATTAGCTCTTTATATAAAAGGATATATATATTCAGTAAAACTTTCTTGGAGTTCATATTCTCTCAAACTGGCTAGAAATGGATGAGAATATTCAGCGATGGAGCTATCACTGTTTTTTTTTTTTTCATTTGTGTCTATTCTGTTTTTGCAATATGGGGCCTCAGTGGTATGTCTGGATAGAGGAGCAGCTTCCTTGTAAGCCTGCGTAATTTCTTTGCCCAAACATGCACAACACCTAGGGATGTGGATTCAGAATCACCTCCGTGTGATTTATGTGCACACTGCCTTCTAGGTGCGTTACCATTGCACTCACATGTGCTGGTGAGCATCATTTTCCCTCCGTGAGTGAAGGACCAAGTTACAGGCTGCTTGCAGCAGAGCTTTTCCAAAGCAAACATTATGTTTCTGAGCACTGCCTCCTGTTTTCCACACCCCCAGTTGAGTCAAACAGTTGTTTCACTACCTACTGAGTATGAATGTTGCTATTATTTTAAGACTGAGCTTATCTAAATCACTGTGATGACTACGTGACTCTGCTTTGCTTCCCTCAATTTGCCATTCTGATGGAACTCTCCAAACATTAACCCAGCGTAAATACAGGGGCATTTGGTGTATCTGTAAAAATAATAAAGGTGTTTTTCAATACTGTACACACAGCAACCCCCATTTTTGCTGAAATCTGCTGTTATGAAATTCAATGAACTTTAAAGGATCTCGACATGCTCTATCAAACTGATGTAAAACTTGCTGGAAATCCATTACAGACCTCACATTACAAAATGAGTTTGGCTCTGCATTTGTAAGTAATAGCTTCCAATGGAATCAGCCTGATGGATGACAAGATGATTTCTTTTCCACTTCTTCAGACAGGAAAAAAAAATAAAGTAAAATCTTAAGACATCTTCAGGCTAGGGGAATTTCTAAGCACTATAGTGCCTCCCTCTGTCTAGGCAATGCCACTTGTAATTGTTTGGAACATATTTTCTTGGCACATTTGTACTACCTGGAATTTTTCTGGAGTTGAACTGTAGTGAATTTGGAATATTACGTAGCAGCCATGAGAAAGCAATGTCAGCTGGATGGTAGAATTTCCACTGATGAAAACCTTGCATCTGGGCATCTCCACTGCAGCCATTGGTCAGTTAGTGAAATATGGAGAGTTATGAGATTTCTGTGTGATGTTTCCACCAAATTGCAAGTGATTGAAAATATGATTACACTTTAACGACTGAGTGGAGCAGAGGATACTTTTAGAGTCATCTGCTTTGATCAATAAATGGTAGTTTGCTTCTTTTAGTCTATGTGACTGGTGCTGAGAATGTTAAATTACAGCAAGTGCATTTGAGCAAGTGGCAAGTGTATGTAAGTGCTATAGGCTTTTTTTTTTTTTTTTTTTTTTTTTTACCTCTGGAGGAACATGTGCTTCTCATTGGCTTTGCCATCTACTAAAACTTCTAATTTCTGAGACTTTCATGTGCACCTAACTATCCAGATACAACTCTGAGAGGCAAGGCGAACGTCAATAACGCAGATATGTGGCTGTGGCTTTAACATGAACTTTATAAAAATTTCCCTATACCTAATTGCTTAATGGTGTCTATCCTGAAGAAACTTGCAGTGTTCTGACAAAGAACAGCTCTTCTGCCTAGTGAGAACACTGACTTCGTTTCCATCACTTTCCTGAAAGATGTGCCTGTTAATTAATCCATGCTGAGTAATAACATGAAAGAGTTGATGATGATGATGATGATAACAGTTCAGTGCCGTCCTACAGACAGTTTTATTCCAGGCAGTTACATTTGTCTATAGAATATTTTCTCCCTTTGTGCCAAAAAACAAACCAAAAGCCCTAAATATTTGTTTGCTCCATGCAGATCCATCAGTTTCATCTGCCCCTTATGATTTGCAGAAAGCAGCGAGTAAAAGTGTTTGCATTTTGAGAATCCAGATAGTGTCCAGCTTGGCCAACACACCTGACTGGGCATCCTGACCATGGGCAGCCTGATCTTTTGGACCATTCCCCACATCTGGAAATGATTTTGGCTTTGGTTTTTGTCATGATGGTGCTAGCTGTTTGGGTTAAGAGAATGAACCAAGTCTTCTGATCGGGCAAAGAAGCAGAATAGTGATGGACCAAGAGATATAGAGATCTGTGAGCTTAGGAAGTATTTTTGAAAGGTTCTGTGTAGAACCTCTTTAACTTTGCCTAGCTGTGAGAGCAGGGCTGTACTCTGTCCTTAGGAGAACTGACAGGTTTTCTGTTTCTGATTTTTTGCTCTAAAAGTAAAGCTTGTTGTATAAGCTGCACATAATAACTGGTCGTGAGTACAAAACTGTGGTGGTCACATCTGGAAAAAACGAGAAGTCAGAAAGACATTTGCATGAGGAATAATAACAAAAAAAAATCTGGAGCTGATATTAAAAATGTTTTTAATATCATTGGATCACATAGGCTTTGTTTTACATGATTCTTGCAAAAAAAATGCTTTCTCTGGGGCATAACTTTTGTATTGCTGCTTTCTGTTCTCCCCAGGATAGGTGGTGCCATGAAAGCTGATGCTTCCAGCTATCAGCTACTGTAAAAAGGCATCGTAATTTGTAGCGATGCCTGTTGCCAGCGCTGCAGGAGAGCCAAGCTGCAGAAGTGTCTGGGACACGGAGCACCCCGAGCCGTCTTGGGGGCAGCTTGGTACTAGCAGAGTGCTGGGAAAGGGGGCACAGGCCCAGTGCAAGCTGAAGAGGCAGTCCCACCCCAGTAGAGTCCAATACACTCTCTGTTTTCAGTTGTTCAGCCTTCCTCTATCTTCTACAGAGCTTGAAATATTTGACCAGTCTTTGTTTACCTCATAGGCATTTGAATTTACTGTGAAAAAGAACAAAACTTTACCGGCCCATCTTTTGGAATGCTACAAAGTAGGAAGAAAATGTTCTGTAGCTTGGTGTGAATATGTCCTTGTTTGCACAGCGTTGCTGTAGCATGGGCAGGAGATGTTGAAAAATCATAGACAAACCTTGATTAGACAGGTATTATGTGAGTGAGGCCCATGCAGCCTGCTGGCAGACTAATGTAAAATGCGGTATTGTTCCACTCTGCGCCTATATAATTTAGCAGTCACTGATCAAAATAGAAAAGAGGCATAAAAGCAGTGACATCGAGGGGGCTTTTCTCCTACGTGAGATATTTAAAAAGAAACCTGTGCTGTCTATCTCTGTTCGAGTCCTGGGCAAGCGAGATGAGCTAGACCACATGTAGACTGTTGCGGAAGCAGGTAAGTCGTTTTCTTCATGGCATGTTTATTGTGGGCGTAACAATAGATCTGAATTCCATTTTGATTTTCACAACAAAGGATGTAATGAAGATGTCTATTTAAGATTTTGTTATTTGTACTCATCTTGGAAGCAAGTATTACAGGAGGGTTAGGCTGAGTTAGTCATAATTGTATTTACACAGAAATCTATTGTTTGTGAGTGATTTCTTGTTCAAAAATCAATCATAACTATGGAAGGGGAGATGAGTGCTAAGCTACACCCATACGCCAAATGGGTGCACAAATGCAAATTAAAGGCATAAAAATATGCCCCAGGCTGCCATACGTCCTCTAGATTCAGCTCTGTACTTTCTCTCACAAAACTCAATGCGTTAGGGCAGGGGTTGGGGTAGGAACGCAGAAAACAGCATCCTTCTCCATCGGGGCAGTTTCGGAAGTCAGCACCACGCTGCGGCGTTGCTGAGTGGATCCAAATACCCTAGTGTTTTTCTGGAATAGTGATACTTACACCCTTATTCTGTCTAGGATTTAAAAAATGCACAGGCTCTTTTCTTGGCTAAAAAAGAAATGTTTTTCTTCAAGAAGCAAGGATTCAGGTGTCACCTCCAGGTCTTTCAGGTTGCTGGGTACTCTGCAGTGAGCAGAGCAGGGCTCTCAAGAGCATAATGCATCTTCCTTCCTGCACAATTTTTAAAAAATGGAACAAGAAAAAGATAAGGAAGTGAGAACTTTTTTTTCAGTGAGGTCTTCTAACTAGTGCAACTGGACAGCTGATGATGTCTGCTCTGAACACGTATCTTGTTTCCTGCCTTGAGACCACTCACCTAAGTAACCTCTTGAAAAGGGAATGAAAGAAAGACACCCTGTGAGATCTTTAGCGTTATTTACTCCTTAGATCCTATTCAGGTAGAGACAGATGGATCTTCCCAGGCCCAGACACCTTGTTT